GGGATATAAGGTTGTTGCCTATAAAATGGCAGCTTAATGGGTGTCCATTCTCACCCACCGCTTCCTTGATTAGTGGAGGGTCGTTAGCCGAACGGGTAGGACAATGACTTTAATCCTCATTAAAAGTATGATGATTATAAAGTAACTAAATGTTTTATAAATTCCCAATCTTAGTTATTTTAGGAAAATGTGAATAAGGTGCTAACCCATGAAATTACACTTTGCACTTTGCTTAAGTCGTCAGTGGAGCGTGTGTGGTTAATCGACACACTAACCTGGACTTACCAAGGTAGGAAAAGGACAACGTAAGGTTTATCATAGATTGGTGGAGTGTGTGTGGTTAACCAGCACATCGATTTGGTGATAAACATTAAGAGTACCAAGTAATTTGCATGGTTACTTCACACCTTGTTTTGTGATCCTCGACATCCCAATCATAAAACTTGACTGGCACACTCGAGATTGAAAGATGTCATTGAGAAGTTCAATGAATCTCAAAGAATCTAGGAGTTTCAAAACCAATTAAAACCTGATAATTTATTTCGTTTTTCATGGTGGAAATTGGTGAATCTTCATTCACCTACATTCAAATATTTTATAGCTTGGATTACTCATACAATACAGTGGGTTGGCCTTGGTGCCTTCGGCACACTTATGGAGGTAAGAAGACTCACCCTATCGACAGACGAAAAGCTGAAATGACATGCTACTCTAAAACCCACGCTAACGGTCACCTTTATGAATAACAGTAACCAAAACTCAAACTACCATTCAAATACTTGAAATACCCCTAGGTCAAACCGTAGTCAAAATCCAGGTCAAAGTTAACTGATTTAACAGGGTTGACTCAGTCAGTACGCGAGGCATACTACTTGTGTATGCGAGGTGTACTTCACAGTTGACCAAAGATCGGGGAGTTGACCTTGTACGCACAACATAACCCTCGACACACTCATCGTACGTGACTGCTTACCACCCCTATTATTAAGTGCTTAATCCGTTAAGCATTTATGTCCAATTTTCAAATCTAGGCAACAAAAGATGTTCTTGACCATAAAGTCTCAAAATTTATGGTTTAGCATGGCTATTAAGACCTTAACTCCAAAAATCCTAGTCTCTTAACCCATTACGACAATCTAGCACTTGCATGGAGAGAAACTAATGACCAAAAACCCAACTTTATGACTTAACACCTCTCAAAACCTTTGGAAGGTCAACTAAAATGCCTTGTAGTACCTTTGACTTGCAAGGGCTAAGTTTGGGACAAAAAGGGGAACAACTTTGAGCTAAAACTAGATCTATAAGATATCTACACCGAAGTTGAAGCTTTTTACCTCCACAAGGTGCACAAGGGGAACAAGATGTTGGATCTAAAGCTTTGAGTGGAACACCATAACCCCAATGCTCTTTATTCTACTCCAAAAGCTTAAAATGGCACAAAAATGGCTCTACAAGCTTCATAATGCACAAACACTTTATAGGGTTTCAAAATGAGGAAGGAATTTGAAGATAAGAAGGTGCATTTGGCCATAAATGTGTTTAAATAGGGTCAAAACCATAAAATTTAAGGTTTGCACCATGGTTGCGTACCCCATGCGTACCATCATACATACATCATACTAATGCGAACCCGGGTACGCCCTGCGTACGAAGGTGTACGCCCCGCGTACCCAAGCTGACTCTTAATTTACGAAATTGCCACTGGGGACTAACCATATAGATAAAGTATAACTCAAGGGTTAAAATGAATACCTGAATAATAGATGTTACACGCTGACGAAATCTTCAGTCACCCAATTTTATCAAGTGAGTGCATAGTCTCTTTCATAAGTATGAATTAATAAAAGTATTAATTAAATTATTAAATATTTGTTCAAATTCGTATGAGAACCATATGCTTATTATCTGGATTATATGCTAAGATATATGTATAGATATCGTGTTATGTGCGAACCAAATGTGGTTCTATTTTATGTTAGGATGAAAATATAATATTATATGATAATATTAGAGTAACATTGTTGAAAAAATAAGCGAATACTAAAAATTAAACCCAAGAATAGAGTTGGTTACATGCATCATAATCTAGTCTATGGATAAACTTAAACTTATAGGTTATATTTAATTTAATTAAGGTTGATATTGGGTAGTCTCATTTGGAGAATGTGTGTAAGCTAGGAACGGAGAGTAAAGTTTTGTTCTATGTCACTCTCAGGTGTTGATGTACGATAGCTCTGCACGATAGTACATTATAGTATTCCCCTTGGATGACCACAAATGGTGGGTCTAAATCAGACAACTGTAATGATATGTCTAGTCACCTCCAAGAGTAGGCGACAACACTTGATCATTCTAGATAGTCTTGTGAATTATGTTGGTGGCATGAACTCATTACTCACATAGTAGATAAAATGGGATATCATATTCATTAAATAATCGGATGACCCATATACCTTTATGATTGTACCAGCCAAGGAAGCCCTTAGCTGAGTTGTTGAGTCTTTTAACTATTCATTAGGAGATATAATTTCCCCAAGTTAATCTGTATGTGGGAACGTAATCCTATATGGATATTGTATATTAATAGTTGATTTTGCAAGTCTGATAATTAAGGAATATTATCCTAGTAATATTATAGGATTGAATCCCTATGCATCTCACCAGGTTTCCAAAACTGGCCCACTCAGTTTATATGCATTACATGTATCAAGACTTAAGCTACTGAAACTTGATTAGGAAGCCGATTGATTAAGAGACAACATGCAAACAAGTTCAGGACCATTAGGTCTTTACGTTGTAACTTGTGTTTCTGTATCGATTATGACATCCTTATGGTTTTATTAAATTGAGACAATCACTTATACTCAAAAAGTTTCAAACGTACTAGTAAATACCGAATCAATAAAAATACAAGCATAAAGAAATGTTTTAATTGGTTACGAAAATCTGAGGATATCACAGTTATAGTACTTTGTCATAATTGTTGACGACTTTAGTAGATATACATAGAATCATTTGTTATTTAACAAAGGTTATGCAATGTTTATTCTCAAAGCATTTATTAAACTTGTACATACTCAATATGGAGTTATAGTCAAGGTTGATAGAAGTGATAATACACAAGAACTTGGTTTAAGTCAAAGAGTTGCATTTTTCAATAAATGGGCATTTTACATTAGGAATCTGTGCCATATACTCCTAAACAAAATGGACTTGTTGAGAGGAAGCACAAACATATTCTTGAAACTGCTCAAGCCATTTGTTTTTAGTCTTGATTGGGGAAGGATTACTAGGGATAATGCATTAAAACAGCCACACATCTCATAAATCGAATGCCAACAATAATTTCACTTGCTATAGTTTCACTCACTGTTAAACAAGATTGAAAAGTTCATCAATTCGATGTCATGACGATCTGCATGAAGAAGTGTACATGAAAGTACCTCATGGATTATTTGTTCCATCTTCATATCACATGTGTCGATTACGTAAATCCTTATACGGATTGAAACCAGCCTCAAGACAATGGTATTTAAAGTTGTCTCTTGCCTTACAATCAAAAGGTTATTCTCACTCCTTGAATGACTATTCTTTATTTTTAAAGAAATACAAACACAATATTGTTATTGTTGATATATATGTTGATGACATATTAGTAACTGGAAATAATAGTGAACAAATCTTAATCTTAAAGGCATTTCTTGATGACCAGTTCAAGATAAAGGTTTTGGGCTACATTCATTTGTTTATTGGCTTAGAATTCAATGAAGTGCCTGGTGGAATGGTGGTTAATCAATATAAACTTATTATGGATGTTCTCAATACATATCCATTGGATGATTCACAACATGCATCTACTCCACTGTCATCAACAACAAAGTTACTACTAAACATGGAAAATCCTTTGTCTGATCATACCATTTATCAACAACTTATTAGAAAATTGATTTTTTTGCTTCACACAAGACCAGAGTCGTCTTTTGGAGTCCAATACTTAAGCCAATTCAACTAACAACGTTGTCAAGCTCATTAGAATGCAACTCTTCATGTCTTATGTTATGTCAAAAATACTGCATCACAAGGATTATTTATGAATAACAATCCCATTTTTACACTAGAAGCTTACTATGACAGTGATTGGGCAGCCTATCCTATCACTAGAAGATTTGTTAGTGGCTTTTTTTGTTCTATTTGGTGGATCACCATTGTCATGGAAGTCAAAGAAACAAGTTACCATGTTTTTATCATCTGCAGAAGCCAAGTACATATCTATTAGACATATTTGTTCAAAGTTAGCTTGGCTTAGCCATCTCTTATCCAAGTTACAAGTATCAGACATCAATCCTATCTCTCTTAAATGTGATAATCAAGCTGCTGTCTACATTGCTAAGAATCCCGTTTTTCATGAGAGAACATAACATATAAAATTAGACTGTCATTTTGTTCGTGAAAAGCTTCAAAGTTGATTGATTTCATTAACACATGTGCCGGCTACTGATCAAATCACAGATGTTTTTACTAAATCCTTGTCGAGATCTAGACATCATCGTGCAATCTACAAGTTGGGACTATAGCCATATCCGCCAGCTTGAGAAGGGGGGGGGGGGGGTAGCTAATGAAATGATTGAAAGTTTTTCTTCCTTCTCTCTAAACTCAAACAATAACAACCGTCAATAATTTGTTAAAAACCGTTTTAACCTCCATACTTGATGTCTATCAATATTTATTTAGAGGTGTAGCTAATGTATACAAAATTTCGGGCTCTAGTGTTCCGCAATATTGAAAACGCCGTTGACATAATATTACAGTTTACTGTTTGGATTATCGATGTAGAGTTGTAGAGTTGTAGTCTTGTAGATAACACATGATCAAAATATATCTTATAATTTTTGTAGCAGTAGCCCAAAGAAATAACCCAGCCCATTATAGATAGAAAATGCTGTTATGGGCCGCTTGTTATATAGTCTATACCCATTTATATAACGCTATTAGGTTTTCTTCGCTTCTTCCCAGCCGATCACTCGCAGAAGAACTTAGAAGAGGCAGAGTCGCCGTCCACCGGAGTAGCGAATAACAGGTTCGTCTCTTCCGATATCCAGCAGTTTGCTATACATTGTTTTTGATCTGTTTTCAGTCAAGTTATCAATTGTTTCACCTTCAAATGATCTAATCATGTCGAGGGACCTGTCTAAACGACGATAACGCCCTTGTTTTTTTCGAATCCTGCTGTACGATCATCGGCTGCGTGGCCGAAAACACAAGCTTTTTCTCCATTTTTGGCGTATACTTTCACTAGCCTTACCATTTTCTCTATTGCACGGTTTCATTAGCGTTGAAATTAGACAATGAGATTGGATGGATGGGCGTGTGCACTTTTATCTGAACTGTATACTTGCTAATAACACTTAATTTCAGCTTCATCGTCGGGTGGTTTAGTTTTTTTTTTTAATGCTAGTGTTCACTCAGACAGTTTTTTTCTTCATTTGAGAAGATTGTTAGAGCTTAAACAAAATACTTAGAGTTACTTACATTTTTTCGAATGATGAACACTCGGATCAAATTTTGTAACTGGAGAAATTCACCAATTTTATATTTGGATTGAATAGTGAAAATGGCGGAGACTAAGGCAGTGACTCTCCGTACAAGGAAGTTTATGACAAACAGACTTCTTTCCAGGAAGCAATTTGTAAGTTCATATTCTAAACTGCTTATGTTTTGATCTGTAGTAACTTAATTGTCTGTTTGGTGTAAATCATTGTTTTTATGATGAATATATCTCTTTTCTTTTGATGTAGGTGATTGATGTGCTTCATCCAGGAAGGCCCAATGTATCAAAGGTTCTACCCTCTTTCTAAGCTGTTCCATTTATGTTTGTAATTCTGATACAAAGTAACATGATTTACTTGAAATGAAGGCTGAATTGAAGGAGAAGTTGGCAAGGATGTACGAAGTTAAAGATCCAAATTCCATCTTTGTATTCAAATTCAGAACTCATTTTGGTGGTGGCAAGTCAACTGGTTTTGGATTGATTTATGATTCTGTTGAGAATGCAAAGAAGTATGAACCAAAATACAGGCTTGTTAGGGTAACTATCTCACTCATTCTTCTTTACTGATAGAAGCATTTTCTGTTATTTCTACTTCTTCTGTCTCTGCAAAAAATTTCCCCTTCAGTCTCTTATGTTCTTTTTGGTTCTTTGTAGAACGGCTTGGATACTAAGGTGGAGAAGTCAAGAAAACAATTGAAGGAAAGAAAGAACAGGGCTAAGAAAATCAGAGGTGTAAAGAAGGTAAGTGGTTAATATAAGTTTGAAATTTTCCAAGATAATAATAAAACACCAATTATCAAACAAAATGGATTTTTTTACAAGATTGTTGCCAGTTTATTGTTTTCCAAGTTGGTTGATTCAATTGGTAAAAGAAGGGTAGCTTTGTTGCATAAATAACTGACTTTTTAGTTTTACTTGATTAAAAGTAATCTATAAATCTTGTATATTTTTTGATTATGCAGACAAAAGCTGGAGATGCTGCCAAGAAGAAGAAGTAAGCATTGAGAGTTTATGTGCTGCTGCAGTTTCAATTGTTCGACTTTTTTTTTTTCTTCATATCTTTAGACTTTGATCATATTGGTTATTCCCCGATGTTGAGATGAACTGAGTTTTTTTTAGAGATTTATATAGCAAGAACAATATGTGTAATTTTTGTGGACTACTTGTCTAATTTTAATGTTTTGTTCCTCTACAAAACCATATGCTTACATCAGATCTTAATATCGGCGTATGGTCATATGTGAAAATTCCGGAGGCATATCTTAATTCAAATTATGATTTTTTTTTTTTTTTTTGCTAATAGTTGAAAAAACTATGGTTGAGAAAATTCTTAGCTGGTCTAACCATTTAAATGGATCATGAATAAGGCAGCTAAACATATGTAAGTAATTGAAGTTGAATGATTGGTAATAAAATTTTGTCTATTTTGTCTATTTTGCGGTTTATTTTGAATTTTTTTATGAAGTAACCATTTAGGTGTATTTATTTATTTATATTAAAACCATTCAAATCAAAAGTAGCATGTTTGAAAAGTTTAAAGCTACAAGCTTCGTCCTTTACTAGACATTAAATGAATATATTATTCTTATTTTTTAATTAATTTTAATTTATTTGTTAATTATTTATTGTTTAACTATTATATGTAAACTTATAAATAAAAATGGCCCCATTACCCACCCCACCCATTTAATGATTTAAACAGCAGGTAGAGTTGATTTTCCGTTCTTCATTTACTTATTTTTTAAACCTCACCAGAAACCTTTGAAAGCAACCAGCAGTCACTGACTGTTCAACATGTGACCACCATCGATTGCATGATTGCATCTCCTCCCTGTTCATCTTCAGTGTCAATGATGCTGGATTTACAGCTCTCTCTCCAAAAAAAGAGAAACAACCGAACGGACCACCATTGTTGCTGAAGATTGACGGACCACCATGTTTACGGAGGCTACAGGTCCATAGATCTACAAGCTATGGATTTGAGGCTACAGATCTACAAGCTATCGATTGCATCTCCACTGGCCCTTGAACCCCACCCTCTAAACCCTAAAATGTTACTGATCGGGAGAGAAAAGCTCAGACAAATACAAAACACGTACGCCTATCTGTGTTGGTGCGATACCGAGACAGGGGCCAGATGAAATAATTGGTATGTTTTTTTTTCCCTACATAATCTAACAAGATAACAAGAAGCATAATTTCTTGTGTGTTTTGTTTTTTTTTTTTTTTTTTTTTTTTTTTTTCCTTTCAGTTTTGATTTGTTCTAAGATATTGAAATCGATTGTAAAAGAAAGTCATTAGACAGAGTCTGTATGTGTGTTTTAGGTTCGGTTTAGGTATCTCAGTACTGATTTTGATTATGGGTATTATTTTTCACTAATGTTTGTGGTTGGCAGAGGTGGTGGTAACCGGCGGTGACTGGTTGTGTTAAGCTATTAGAGGATGGTTTCATAGATGCGTGAGTAGTAATAGAAGGGGGTGGGACCAATAATATGTGAATCATATTAATTCAACATCTTTGATTTAGAAATAACAAATAAATTAAAAAAAATGAAAAATAAAATATAACCAGCAGTATAGTCATTTTATGTGTAAGAGGATGAATCATGCAACATTTTTTTATATAATGGACGTTCCAAAAAAACATAGATTAAACCTGTATTTTGACATTCGAAATAGAGATGAGTCGTGTAATTTACTCAAGACTTAATGTCAATTTTAATTTAAGACTTTATATTTATACTTGACAAAACTTCAAAAATGGTCATTTGGATATGTATATTTTTGTTTTTCGAAAAATTATGTAAACTATAAATTTTTTGGATTGATGGTCTTTTTTACTTAGTTTGTGTGTGGTTTTCGTCAATTACAAAACTGAAAAGAATAACTTTTGATACATTTTTAAATGTTTTTTTATTTAATTTGAAATTTTATTAATAATAAATATGGGACCATCTGTTTTAAGTTTTATTAATAATAAATTTGGGCACACTTAACCTCCTTCGTTTTCTTCCTCACCCATGTTTTTTCGCTTGCAATTAAAACCACACACTATGGACGACAATTATGTGTTATGATTGAATTTTAATGGCCTCTAAAACTTTTTCGAACATTACTTTCTTTCCAAATACCAATAATCATGTTAATAGTCGGTATATAAAAATCTATTAGAGGCTTTGCAAATGTTGTTCAAGTCTCCATCTCTCCACTTCTATTTATTTATTTATTTATTATTATTATTTTTTTTTTTCAGTTGGTCAAACACTTGACATGAATGAGTTACATGGAGACACCTTTACTTTTTCTTTTCCGGCATTTATGAAAGAAGAATGGAGTTTCTCAACAACATCAACTAAACCCCCCTTACGTTCTTGTTGGAGCTCTCCCTTCAGACGATAGCCTTAGCTTTTCATTCACTTCAATTCTCTGATCTTTTCTCTATAACGTCGATGGGATACAATAGAAAACAACTTGAATTATTTCATGCATCATTTCCATATCTACATGTGTGTGCGTGTCCATTTCTAGATATGTAAGTGTGTGTGTTAATCGTGGAGTTTGCCGGAGATGAATGGGATTTGTTGGATCTGTAGATGTGTGTGAACATTTATGTGACCACTTAGGGATTGAGCCGACCTCTCTTCTACAGAAGCTACATGAAAGTGACTTGGGAGACCATATGAACCCATCTAAGGGACCTCGAGCATCCTCAACGAAATCTTGTTCTTCCCATGAGTTCTCGAGGATGTAGTTCTTGCTCTTAACCCACATCAAATATTGTAAGCATTGCTCCATCGATCTCTTATAACTTCCCAAATTTCAAACTTATCTGAAGTTGAGAAAACAATATGTAAAAGACAATGGTCAATTATACTTTGTGTTTATAGGGATACTGATGGGTTTTATACAAACAATCCTATGTGTGTGCATGCAACCCTAGATTTGGATTTATGTTTTCTCTATTAGATGCACAACTTTATGAACACAAGAAGAATCATAGCATATACCCAGGTATTTCGAAATCTATATAGTAGAAGCGATTACATACCTCTTGTTGTTATATTGTAATAACAACACAAGTCTTCAATCTCTTTGTCTTGGAAAGCAAGTACCACAAGTGTAGTACCTCTGATGGCTCACAAACACCACAAGCAAATTGAGAGGCAAGAGAGAGAGAGAGAGAGAGAGAGAGAGAGAGAGAGAGGGGGGGGGGGCAAGAAATCGGCTCTAAGCCTTCTAGAGATCAAGTGGCCGATTTCCCTTAGCCAAGGGGTCTTTATATAGGGTAGAGATTAGGGTTTCAGTCCTTATCCTTATCTGGTTACTTGCCCACCAAGCAGCCCATAAGATAAGCCTTGAATCCTTATCATAGACGAATTCTAAGGCCTTATCACCTTGAATTAGTCCACCCCTTCCTTGGGGCAACCAATGCCCTGATTTGCAACTATCACATAATTGCAATTCAGCCCCTCTAGTTTATTTAATTACATTTGATTACAAAATTAATTTTTAATTAATTATTGACCAATATTAATTAAACAAATATGATTTTTCCATTAATATATTATTCTTATAATATATTAATAAATCATAATAACCTCTTTCTCTATTATTTCTCCAGTCAAGTTGTTTTGGTGAAGGCAACCCAAAAGAACCATGCACAACCGGGTCAAGTACTTACCAAATATGGTTACGGGCTTAGCAACTAATCCAACAGTCTCCTACTTGGATAAGTCTAGTAACCACAAATGTAAGTATAACTCGATTAGCAATTGTAGCTCTCAAAGATGTTGTCGAACTTTGATCTTATCAGTAACGTATCCTTTAGATAAGGGATCGTACAGTCCTCTGTTTTTGATATCGTGCGGACAATCTCATGGAACATAATCATACTTATTGTCCAGCAGTTTGTTTCTCGATCTCCGATTCATTTGACATAGAACTTAATTGAACACATCAATTCAGTCCTGACCGGGCCCGACACATAAGTCAAATCAAATCATCGAGGGGTCCTGATATCGCTTTTACCCTCTTAGGATAAAAGAAACCGATAAACTTCGACTTGTATGCATTTACTACTCACTAATCAAATCATACACAACAATGCATTTTATGACATCAATTTATTGATGCGGTTTCGCATTATCAATGCACAATCAATTATCAAACAATAAACCATATATCTTGGTTTTAAGACCATATGATATTATCGTCTTGCGATCACTCATGATAAACTCCATGAAGTGATTCCAGCAAGCGCGGGTTTATTCCAATGCTCAAAACTTATTCATAAGCACTCATGAACGTTGTAACAAACATTTGTTATGTCTAATACCTTTCAGACAATCTACACACAAATTCATGACAGTCTTCATTCATACCTACTTCCAACATATGAACGACTGTGGATCATTTGAATAATTCGATTATTCACTACTAGAAAAACAACCTTTTACGACGCTCATTGCGCGTCATAAAAGGCTCAGACGACGTGCAAATGCGTGTCAAGGAAGGCCCTGTCATAAAGAGAGACGACGCGCTTTTGCACGTCGTCTATAGACGACACGCTTTTACGGCGCTCATTTACGACGCGCAATTACGACGCGCGTTTACGACACGCAATGCGTATCAAGGAAGGCCCTGTCATAAAGGAAGAGGACATGCATTCGCGTGTCATAACCTTACGACGCGCGTGTTAATGACACGCAATGCGTATTAAGAAAGACCCTGTCAGGAAAGGGCATGTCATAAATGAAGATGACACACATTTTTGCGTATCATAATTTTAAATGTTTAAAAAAATATTATTTATAGATTTACTTATTTTCAAATTAAATTTGTATTTAATATTTCATAATAGAAAAAAAATCATATACAAAAGTTAATGTCATACAAATAATCATAAATAATCATTCTAATAGTAGACAAATGTATTACATCAATTGTGAAAGAGATGAAAGTCATCAACAAATAATAGTTGAACTAGTTCATTATTGGCCATATAGGTTAACTGCAATCTCCAATCCTTCTAGCAGACCCTAGAGATCATTATTGGTCATGTAGCAGGATCAACCTGCCAAAATAAGACACCAAATTAATGAGAAGCTGAGATACTACCTACAGGACAATTCAAAAACACATTATAAGCATAACAATCAGTCCATGGACTTACTGTGGATCAATAATTTCTTCAATTTGCATATGTTAAGAAGATACAACTAAAGGTAAAATAATACAAAAAATAATATCTTACTCATTAAAATAACACACAAACATCTATCTGTATATTTCTCTTTTCCTCATTTAGATTCTGAAACTGTAGGGACTGTCTAGAATCACTTGTTACTCATTAAAATACCCATGGTTAGCTGCAGTTGTAAATAAAAGCAAAGAAGAAATAGTTGTTGTAGAGATATAACATACAAAGAAGCTTCTTCCTTTTTTCACAAGATAAGTGTTAGATCCAAAGGCATTTCCCCTGTTTCTAAATTCATCTTCATGTCTTTGTACTCCTCTGTCCAGATTGGTTTTCAACATCTCGGATAACCGTTGCACCTGAAAATTTATATAGGTATAGATGTATATATAAAGAGGTTTTAAGTTTGGTACTCCTCTGTCCAGATTGGTTTTCAACTTTCTAGATTTTACATAGTTACAGCAATGTATTCCAAATATTACAAAGTAATCTTCATTGCGATAAATATAACTGGGTGGAGTGTTCAAGGTACAATGCTATAATAGAAAAAAATTGATGTTTCTTACATTTAGCAAATAAACAATAGGGGAGTTGGTTACCTTGGGATCTAGCATGAATTTAATTGCATCAACCAACTTGGTGAGGTTAAACTGATCGACTCGTATGGGTTGCGGCCCTACGCCTCTGCTATGAACTCGTTCTCCCCAAAATGGTTGGTCACTAAAGAAAGGTACAATTGTAGTTGGGCACCGAAAGTCAACATATAATATCAGATAAAAAGTCAACATATAATATCAGATTGCTATTATTGGTAAAAATAAAATAACAAGTTGTTAAGGAAAATTACCGTAGCTTTTAGTCCAGCAGCTGTAGTTCCAGCACCCCCGTGGTGTACCTACAATTACAAAATAAAAAATAAAAAATAAAAAATGTAAGTACATTGCTATTATGTGTAACAAAAATGTAACTAAGTTGCTACTATGGGCGAAAAATAAAGCAGCAGCAATGACTCACCACAGATGCACATTGCAAGAAAAGCCGGTCATGAGGGATGTTGTCCAACGAGTATACAAAATCCTTTGGCTCTGTTACTTAAGAAACAAAAAGTTTATCTACATCAGTTTTGATTTCTTCCATAAGCAACAAAAGGGTAAAATGGAAAAAATAAAGTTGTGATATAAAAGATAAAATAAACGAAGCATATATATATATATATATATATATATATATATATATATATATATATATATATATATATATATATATATATATATATACTTATTACTTACAGATACCAAGACCACCCCATCCTTTGTTGATGATGTAGCTTTGTCCAGAATCTGCTGAAGGAATATACTCCCACCTACATCCACCTGGTAGTTCTGGCCCAAGTCTACCTGGCGATTGAACCTCAGGTACCGGTGCTCCTTCATAGTACCATTGCTGCTTCAAAAAATAGCTATTTGCATCATCAAATCATAAAAATTATCACTTCCAGATGCATTAAAATGCTCTATAGCTTGATGCCTCACCTCAGCCTTTGTACTTCCATCAAGTCTCTGATACTTGAACCCCTTAATTGATAAGTATTATGCTATAATATCTAACATCTAAACCATCTGCAATGCATTCAAATATATATATATATATATATATATATATATATATATATATATATATATATATATGAATCCATATAATGTTAAAAGCATAAGGAGTAAGGATTTTAGATAAGAATTAAGAAATAGAAAGAACCTATCAAACAACTTGAAGCGTCCATCAACTATAGCTGGAACTTGATGAATGGGATTTATTGCTGCATAAAACAAGAGCAATTAAAAGTTGTCAACTAAATATTGCAAAGAATTTGATACAAAATCAATATCAAACCTTTATATTTAGGGCTGAATTGTTGGTTTTTCAAGACATATGTTCGGATTTCCTCGAAATCTATCTCGTTTATCCTTCAAATAAATGGAAACAAATAAGAAACTCACAAGCCCTAAACCTGTTAGGGTTCATCACATATAATGTCTGCCAATAAAACCATAACATACACAATTATCAACTATACTTAATACTATTCTAATAAGATCATACATACATACATACTTCCATCCTCTCTAACAAGTGTAGCTATAATTTTATTTTACTTTTATTTTTGAAAAAATCCCACCTCAGACAAATGTATTTTAGCTTTTAAAAATGTCTCTAATTAGTAATCACAATAGTAACCAACTCATTTTTTTTAATAACTATCTCATTAAAAAATTAAAATAAAGCAAATGAGATATAAATAAATGAAAACAATAAACAAACTTTTGACAAAGTCCTATAAATAAAAATAATTTCAAATAACCTATTAAACTAAGCACTTTACAAAAAAAAGGAGTAACGAAGTTAAATGAATTGAATTAGCCCAACAGCCCAATAAAACAAACCCAGTACAAATACCTAATTTTCATTTTTTTTGGCGTTTTGGATCTTTGGGAGGAGCCGAAGATCAAAGAAATTATGTAGCACGTCATGTCTCTGCAAATCGCAGAATATCTCATCTCATGTTTTGTAAAAAATACCAAATCATCAATCGTTGGATTTACCATACTTTTGCTGCTATCTGCCAAACTATTTCTTGCTTTTATCGTTTCATGTTCCTAAGTTCTAGCATCTTCTTTTCTCCTCATACGTATCACTGTTTGTCTGTCCACCAGAATCATTTGTATTCTTCCTGATAATGCTAAAAAACGGGGGGACAATGGCCCCTTAAGGCATCCGGCCCTGGACATCATCATCCTTGCTGTATGGTAAATCCTGGAATACAAAGAAAATCCTTATTCATGTTTCACCAAAGATTATGATAATGATGAAATTAGATTCCATATAGTTTAGGATATGATGTGATTATACCTTGATATGATCCACTTGGACAGTAAGGGGATCTTCACTGACCATCTCTGTTATCCTAAGCCGCCTATGACTAATAAGAACAACCTGCTCTCCTTGGATGCTTGTGATCTAATTACAAGAATCAATGGTTGATGATAAGAATTGATAACACAATAATGAAGAACAGAAATTGAATGCTTGATTACTATGAACTTCACGTGGAAATAAGAGAATAACAATTCAGAAAAGTTAATCAAATGATTGTTCTTCCTGACCTAAATGAGAGAGGATCTCAAAGAGATGACCTCCTGCCCAAGCTAATGACGAAGACTCAAAATACCAATGCAAAACACTGAAAATGAATCCCACTACTGCTATGACTCATGCTATTTAACCTTACAAAGGATGATTCTGGAGTGAGGTGTAAAACATAAAGTAATAAAAATTACAACCAGGTCCCTCCATGTTTTCCCTTTATTAATATTTGACATGTTCTCTATTAGTTGATAACTGGTGTTATAAGTTATTTAAAATCTCAACAAGTTTAGAATAATAGATTAAAAACAGTTCCATCACAACAAATACCTGAGGAAGTGTACCAACTTCATGGAGGCAATTAAGTAATTCTTTGACTTTTAGTGCATATATATTCTTCTCTGTATCTGAACCTGTGGCCTCATCCTGAAGTAAGATTGATTGCTGAAGTAAGAGACAACGATATTTTATCCTCCTAGTTTGAGTGATTGGATGAAGTTATATCAGCACTGACACAAAGCAATTTAATCAAAAAAATTGATAAATTCAATTATAATTTAAATATGAAAATAGGTAAAGCAACAAAAGATCATGGTTTTGAGTTTACCTTTGTATGAACTTGAAAATGAAGGACAAACAAAGTTCAGCTGCCTGATATGCAAAATCTTTTGTTTCAAAAAAATCTTTAGCGCAGGTCTAAACAATCTGTAAATGAAAACAACTTTCAGTTCAGTACAAATATACAACTATGTTATAAATTGAATGTCAAAAATCCAAGAAATATCGAGAATTATATAAAAGGAAAAATAAACATGCCAATCTTCCATTTAATTTACCTGTGATAAAACTGAGATTACATGGCTATCCAATATATCCTCCATAAATATGTAATATGAAAAAAAAAAAACTTGCATCCATAAGTTTAACCTTGATCGGAAGCATATAAGAAAGTATAGTATATTTGGAGCTTGTGAAATCAACTTTACCAAAAGATTCGTTGTTTGCACTCCACCCTAAACTTGAGATGAAGTCAACCATTTGTGGTGGGCACTTCCAGCCTTGAACAACACCAAGCATTTATCATTCATTGGAGATGAAACCATAAACAATATCAGGACCGGATCAACTACATAATGATATAAAAGATAGTTGTAAAACTGGAAGATGTTTGTTTAGGACAAGCAATAATAAGCTTCGAGAAGAGGCACTAACCAGGAAGATAACATAAATGAATCAGGGTGGCAATTCAACAAACAGTTGGTGTGCACAACCAAAATCTACATAAAAATTGAATTCCCACTACTAGAAAAACAACATTAAACAGTTTGCAAATAGTTTGCATTAACCAGGAAGATGTTTGTTTAGGATAAGCTATAATAAGCTTCGTATATAACGTCCACATAATATGTCACAAGCAGGATTAGTCATTTGGAAACCGAACCCAATCGAGTTATCTTCACCCTGTAGATAAATAAACATAATTCATGATAGAAAATAATATAAAACCAAATTCATTTGTAAATCAGTGATTGGGTGAATATGAATGGTCTAGCCAATAAGCTTTAAACAGTTTGCAGGTACGTATTAAAAAAAGATACTAACCTAGGAATGTCAAAATTTCCTTAGCTTATTTAGCGATTTCCTGCAACATTGTTGGTTACATGGATATTCAAGAAGAAGTTCCCTTCACTCTCTTGCTCTTCTTTGATTTTTAATGCAGAGGGATTAGTGGAGATGCTACACCCCATTATCTCAATCACCTCCAGCGTCAAAATCCTCCCTACATCCAAAGGGATACTCTTGAGTTTTAAGCAATGATAAACCATTAAACGTTGTGGAACTAGGAAGTTATCCCTCCAACATACCCATTCCCTTGGCTCTAACCCCCTGTAGCTTCAATACCTTGAGTCGCACAAACTCTGCATCGCCTCTTCTTATCCATCCAATGAAGTGAGCATAAACTAAAACCCCCAAAGCTTCCCCTGCTACTGAAAAGAGCACAAGAATTGAGAATTTCAGGAAAAATAAGCATAAAGGTGACTCACTTGTGATGTAGAAGCACATGTTGATCCATGTCTTCGCCTCTTCTTATCCATCCAATGGATTCTCTCGAAGCTTCAAGGCGATCGGGAACCATCCTCATCAAATAATGATAACTTAGACATATCGAGGTTTTCAATAGAGAACGAGGTTGCCCGATTGGAGAGGCAGGGTCGTTTGTGAGTTTTAGCAGAAGATGTATGTTTATTGTTGATGATGTTTTGGATTTTTCTAGGGTTTTTTTGAGCTAATCGAATGAAGTAAACCCCTGAACCAAATCTGATCGCAAGAAGAGCAAACCCTTTCTCCTCCATAGTTTTATTGCTAGATTTAGGTTTTGTGGTAGGCTGGGTCGCATTTTGTTTCTGTAGCATCAAGCTCCGAATCAACATAATCCATAGTTCAACATGATATTAGGGCTTTTAGACTCCAAAAAGTTCTTGTAGGCATATTGCGATTGGAACCCTTGATATGATATGTTTCCTTTAATCGGGGTGGTTTATCCCCAATATAAGGAGAGTTTTTAGGGTTCAATGGTGGTGGAAATGGAATGGCTTAGGGTTTGCAGAGAGGAGGGAGGGAGAGAATGAAGGGAGATCTACGGAAGAGAATGGAAAGCGGGGTACTTCAAAATTTTAGAAATTTTAAGGATTTTAGAATTTTAGGAGGGTTTCCTCAACAACGCGCGTTATGAGTAAAAAACATAAAGCGACATTCACAGAGGACGCACACTTTAGATAAAGTGCCCTCCATGTTTTTAAGTTTTTTTTTACATGAGACACTAATTTAAGGGCATGCAATAATACGTGACCTAAATCCTTAATTTTTTTGAAGAGATGACACTTTTTTAATGTCACTCTTTTTTCCGTAACATAAATCAATGAGTGTCGTGGTTTGCACGTCGTAAAAGGGTCTTTTTCTTGTAGTGATTCTTAATTATCTAAATTATTCTGGAAGTCAAAACATGCAAAACAAAATAATAGTCAACCAATTAACACTAATAAATAATAGTCAACCAATTAACATAAGATAATAACTGTACTAATAAATAACACTCCTTTATTTAATCATCAAATGTCAATTACAATTATCTATTATACATTTCTAAACTATCTAATCCAAACTAACATCGTCCTTCAGCCCAATGCTCCTAGCGTGCTGCAAATGCTTAACCCTACTCAGTCCCTTCATAAGCGGATCTGCTGGGTTATCCTCTGACGATATCCTCTTAACTACGAGGAGTCCTTCTTCTACCCGATGTCTAATAAAGCGATATTTTCTGTCGATATGTCAAGATCTACCATGATCCCTCGCTTCCTTGGTCAAGGAAACCGCTCCTTCATTATCACAGAAAATTTCCATAGGCTCCTTTATGGCAGGTACAACTCCAAGGTCTCCAATGAAGTTCTTCAACCATATTGCCTCCTTTGATGCTTCGCTCGCTGCAATGTACTCTGATTCGCACGTTGAATCAGCTACGGTTTCTTGCTTGGAACTTTTCCATGTCACTGCTCCTCCATTAAGGGTAAAGACCCAGCCCGACTGTGAACGGTAGTTTTCCCTGTTGGTCTGGAAACGGACGTCACTATACCCTCACACCTTTAAGTCATCACTCCTTCTGAGAACTAGAAACCATTCCTTGGTCCTCCGAAGGTACTTAAGGATATTCTTGACTGCAGTCCAATGTGCTCTGCCGGGGTTCCCTTGATATCTATTGACCATGCTTAAAGCGAAGGCCACATTAGGGGGAGTACAAGTCATAGCATACATGATTGAGCCAACCGCGGAAGCGTAAGGTACTCGGCTCATCTCTGCTATCCAGGCTTCGGTACTCAGACTTTGAGTCTTACTCAACTTGGCATTACTTTGGATCGGTAATTCTCCCTTCTTCGAGTTTTCTATACTAAAACGTTTTAGTACCTTGTCCAATTAAGTATTCTGACTAAGTCCTATTAGTCTCTTACTTCGGTCTCTCATTATCCTTATTCCCAAAATATAGGAAGCCTCTCTGAGGTCCTTCATAGCGAAGCACTTCCCGAGCCAGGAATATGTCATCGACATACAATACGAGAAAGCTAAATATACTCCCACTGGCTTTGACATACACACATGATTCATCTTCTCTTCGTACAAATCCAAACTCTTTGACTTTCTCATCAAAGCAAAGATTCCATCTGCGAGATGTTTGTTTAAGTCCATAAATGGACTTCTCAAGCTTTCACACTCTATTGGGATTCTTCGTATCGACAAAACCCTCTGGCTGAGCCATGTAAACATCCTCATCCAACTTCCCATTAAGGAAAGCGGTTTTGACATCCATTTTCCATATTTCATAATCATGAAATGCAACAATGGCTAGCATCACGCTCATAGACTTAGTCTTAGAAACTGGTGAGAAGGTCTCATCATAGTCAACTCCGGGAGTTTCAGTAAAACCCTTCGCAACCAATCGTGCCTTATACGTGTGCACATTCCCATCCATGTCTGTCTTCTTTTTGAAGATCCACTTGCACCCAACCGTCTTACGTCCGGGCACATTGTCAACCAAATTCCAAACTTGGTTGTCATACATGGACTAAATCTCGTTGTCCATCACCTCTTTCCATTTCGCAGACTCCGGTCCTGCCATGGCTTCCTTATAGTTGTTAGGTTAATCTAGATTTACTAGTGTATTATCACTAATATACGTGTCTCCTTCAGTAGTAATATGAAAACCATACAACTGGGGTTGAACTCTAACTCTTTCGGAACGTCTAAGAGGTAAGAATTCGTCAATCAGTTCAACCGGAGTTTCCTCCTCGTGTTGAGCGCCAGCGTTAGAGGTTCCTTCATCGCTCGACTCTTGAATCTCTTCAAGATCGATTTGCCTCCCACTGTCCCCGTGGCTTATGAGTTCTCACTTGTGGAAAACCCCTATCCTCGCAATGAAGACAACATTATCATTCGGTCTATAGAAGAGATATCCAAAGGATTTTTGCGGGTAGCCGATGAAAATACATCGCTCACTACGAGGTTCGAGCTTGTCGTGAGTCTCTCGTATTACGAAAGCCTCGCAACCCCAAACCTTGATATGTGTCAATGATGGAGTTTTCCCTGTCCACATTTCGTGAGGTGTTTTGGTAACCTTCTTTATAAGGACTAACTTAAGGATATGGGCGGTAGTCTCTAAGGCATACCCCCAGAATGATATAGGTAGTGAAGCACGACTCATCATGGAACGAACCATGTCCAACAAGGTTCGATTACTCCTCTCAGCCACACCATTCAACTGCGGTGTCCTAGGCGGCGTCAATTGCAAAACTATTCCGCATTCCTTGAGATAGTCGTGGAATTCAAGACTTAGGTACTCGCCTCCTCGATCGGATCGAAGCATCTTGATTTTCCTGCCCAATTGATTCAAGACTTACTAGATGGTGACATGTGGCATGGACTCGACGAGTAGGTCCTCCTACTCGATGAGTTAGGCTGTTTCCCAACCTATAAATAGAAATGTCGGGTGAAGCTTATTTCTCATACCTCTCACTTATACTTTCTCTCTCTAAACTCTCTCTCTCTAACCCCCAAACCCCCCAAAGACTAGGGTGACTCCCTAGCGCGAGGTGGAAGCCCAGGAGCGCCCGACGGATCCGAAAAGAAGAGCTTTCGGCTCAGAAACGCTGCTTCATGGAAGCCTGGTTTTGAGAAAAACTCGTTGTAAGTGAGTTATGCTTACCATACTTTAAGTATAACTTATGTTTAAGTTCATTATCGTTACTATGAACTTATAAACAAGATTTATCATTTATTCCAATTCATTATACTGATTGATCTACTTACGGGGATGATGTCTAGGCTGTGATTTAGTGAGGATTTTAAAGTGGGATTTCCAAACGGTATACTTCGTATACCATACGGACCCTACCTCCGATATGATCCTACCTGGTTGTTCCTTATTTGATAGATCATGAAAGTAGACTTTGAGTTAATGATGAATCTACACTAATAATGTAACGCCTGTAGATCCGGGCTGGTCAATTTAGAGATAATAGGGGTCGAAAACAACTTTTCGACAAAATATTATTTAGAATAAATAATCTTAACCAAGTTGTAGAATATTTCTCAAGGGTTCCCTACCTATAAAGAGCGTCGAAATCCGAATTGTAACGAAGAAGTTATGACCCGTCGAAGCTTAGCGACGGAACCGGCACGACACCGCGAAGACGTAAATAGTGAATTTACGATAGAGGACTTTATAGCCTTAGTAATTAAAAAAAAAAAACTCATAGAATATGTTAAACTGAGAGCGTCCATAAAAAGAACGCCCAAATCTGACTTCGTATGAGGAAGTTATGATTTTTCTAAGATTTAGCATAACAGTGCACAACCCGAAAATTCGTATTTTAGATCGGTCGATTTTCAGCCAAAATAATATAAACGAGAAATGAAGATATCGTTAACAGGAGTTAAATGATAAAAAGACAGTAAAAAAACGGAGCTCGTATGCGAAAGATATGGACGAAGCTTGGTCCTTACTCTTCGAGCGCGATAAATTCGATACAGTTTTGTAAATCTGAGATAGAATGAGAATTAGCTGACGGCGTCTAAATGAAAGTTGTAGTACTCGTAAATGCCAATGCGTGGATATAAAGAACGTTAAAAATGGAGTTCGAATGAACGAGTTACAAATTATAATAGCATATTTACGTATTAAAATAAAGTATAAATCATATATACGTACACATATATATACAAATGTATATATCATTATAAAGGTATCGACGATACGGTTATTATAAGACTAGTGTTGAGTACTTTCGATATTAGTGTAGTACAAATATCGTTAAATCTATTTAAAATAGTATTATGAAGGGATGTTTAGTCGTTTATATAACTATAAGGTCATTAAGTAATTATGGAGGGTAGTTTTTGTAAATTCAATTACTCTAAATAAGAGGCTTGGGCTCGCATATTTCTTGCACCATTCTCTTGATTCAAGAGTCTTTCTCTCCTTATCCCCCGAGCATTTTGGTCCCTCGTGATTCGAC